CCCTTACAGTCCTTAGAAGGAACCAAACCTACCAACACCTTCATCTTGGGCTTCTGGCTTCCAGGACCATGAAAAAACAAATTTCTGTTGTGCAAGCCACCCAGTCTGTGGTACTTTCTTACATTAGCTCTAACAAAAGAAAACAGAAGTCTTTAAGGAGAAGAAGCATTGGGTGTGGGCTGAGAAGGAAGGGTGGTCTATCGGTAGCCCAAGACGAGAGGAAGGAAACTCCTGGCAGGTGGAATAACAAGAACAAGGACTGGGAGGTAGGCAAGCATTCGAGAAATAATGAACAGACCATGAAGCTAGGGGACAGAGCAGATGTCAGGGAACAGGAAAGAATAGTCTGAGAGAGGTAGGTCGGATCCTCAGAGCCTTGAGGGCCATCCGTGGGCAGTGGGGACTCACTGAAGGCTTTGGAGAAGTAATATGGTCAAAGCAGCATTTTGGAGACATTCTCTCGTACAGAGTGGTCAGAGAAAGCTGGTGCATGCCAAAGTCCTCTGTGGCTGCCAGCAGCACGACACGACAGGCCCCCCGGCGTGGCCCACAATACTGCTCAGGAGTTGCATGAGCAGAATTGGCTTCAGAGCCAGGACCCACAGCTGCGGGACAGTGGGACAGCATCCTGCCCCCCTAAACTCCATCCCTCACTCCCCGAAAGAGAGACTTTCCAGGCTTCTTGACACTGTTTGCTTCTTAGTCAGGCAGGGAGTGGACAAGGTGAGCCTCAGAACTCAGGAAGCAGCCTGGCCCTGGCTTCCGAGGAAAGTCCCAGGCCACCCACCGTGGGGAGCGAGGCTTCCGTCCATCGCAGGTTCACGTGACGCCTCTCGCGGAGGTGCTGGAGCTGAAACACTGTCTTATGTTGCATGCAAGATAGGAACTCCTTGAGGACCCATCAAATTGTTGGTGCTTGATAAGTATTTTTGAATAAATGCAGTAATGACCATTCCCCTAGTTTTGATAATGCTGGTAGCCTGTAGCATTAGGTTTCTCAAACATCCATTGACATTGTCTGCTCTAGAGCCTTGTGACACTTTAAAAAATGACTGCCCAGAAAAGGCTCGGTTAAGGACAAGTCCCCGCCAGGAGACACTCTGATTCAGCAGGTATGAGATAATGCCTGGGTCTATCTATTTACAAAAAGTTCTGTGGATAATCGTGACGCATAGCAAGGGTTGAAAAATCGCTGATTACATTCAATATTTCAAACTTTTTTATCAGCTCTGAGACAAGATTAAATTTGATACCAAAGAATTTGATATTTTAGTCCCTACGATTTTAATTTCATCAAACTTTATTAGCTTATCTTGGAAACAAAAAAATCTTTTTCAATCCAGGATTCAAACTAGTGACTTCGGAATGGCTGCATCTACTTTCAGTTCTGATTTAAAGTCATCCTCCTCCCTTCCTCCCGATCCCCTCAAACTCCAAACAACAAATGAAACCAAACTACCTGAGTAAAAGACATCAAATCTGTTTACCAAAACAAGCCTCTGTACAGAAACACCCCCAACTAACCCCAATTAAGCCAAAATGCCAAACTCCTTGTAAAAATGTTGCAGGTGGAATATTGTCCATAAACTTAGGTGTGCAAGAAATAGAACTTAATTTTTTTTATAACTCAGTTTCTATTTCAAGCTCCCATTCCAGTAGGTGGCAAAATCCTAGTTTTAGTCAATAAAGAGTATTTCCCACATCTTTGCCAAGGATTGCAGTACATTATTGGGAACCTAAGTCAGAGTGAGGCACAGGGGTGGGGGAAGGGAGGTTGTCAGTCTGCTGTGAGTATCATTTTATCTGGGTGTCAAATGTCCTCATTCCCTTCTGGATCTTATTGCTATGTCATACCCCAGACCTCACTTCAAGGCTTCTTTAGGTCTCCATGAATTTCAGGGCATTTCCCACGCATGACAGCATGCTCATGCCCAGCCCACCCTGGGCAGGGGTAAACCGTGTGGTGCCTCTGGCAAATTTATGTTGATACAAGAGACCGCCATTTCTACCCTGAGGTCTTGCCACACCCCAGGCTCTGTCCAGAAGGAGGGATGGGTTTCTTCCACGATCAAATCACCAAACTTCTGTGTGTTTACAGTCGCAGCCCACTCTCTCCAGGACCCCCACGTCCACTCACCCTTGCTGCCCCTCCCTCTGCTGTGGGGAATCTTTCCTAATCTCTGGAGCAGCGAGCCTGGCCCTGACATAATTAAGCATTCTTGCAAATTTGTTATATTGTTTATGCACAAGTGTCCTTTCTGTTTTCCTTTGAGGGTTGGCTTTTGAACAAATCAGAGAAGATGCCTTGATTTTCTCTTTTAAGGTGCTGTCACTTGTTCCCAGAGGTACTAAGGCACTCGGCTGAAAGTGCAGGGTAACACTAAAAATAAATGGAAATAGAAAGTCAGACCTTCTCTGAAATTTATTTGATTTATCCTTGGCTGAAATTGTGACTAAAGCCAGAGGATCACAAGCTTCAGTGATCAGTTTAATGAAGAATTTAAAGAATGAGAGACTGTTGGCACAGGGCTTGGTGGGTACAAAGCACTGCGTTTGCCAGAGAGTCTTAATATACAATAGCTGGAAAACATAAGATGTTTACTTCAAATACCGAGACTATAAATAGGAAAGCTGGGGTGCAGGTCTTTTTTTTTTTTTAAGTTTTTTATTTATTTTGTATCTTGTCATGAAATTATTCCCTGACTAGTTTGCAATAATTTCCTTGGAGAAATACTGACTTTAAACTTTTATTGTTATCTTCTATGGACTATAACCTTAATCTCAGAGACATGCTTGCTTGAAATGGGAAATTTCATTTACTCACTATAAGTTTGGGAAAGGAAATTGAATTTGATAGAATGTTTATTGTAGGAAATCAAGGTCACTCACCTAAACTTGTAATGTACACAACAGCTCTGTGGCTTCCTAACTTCATTCCATTACTTAACTCTCATGTAAGACCTTGACTTCATTTAGTTAAAAAGAATCAAGTCTGGTACTTAGTTTTCTCCCTATAAGCCTGTCTAAAAAACTCTGAGACTGTAACAGAAATAGTTTTAAAGAGAAATATGAATTTAAGTTTTTCTCCACTAGAGAGAAAAGAAAAATTCCAAAGGAAAAAAAAACCAACCCACAAAACATTAATAATTCTTTACACTGTTATTCTGGCACAAAAGATTAAATGTCTTTCTAACATGGCTTAGTGGCAAAAACACAACTTCAGAGTGGTGCCATGGATGGGCACATGGATGGGATCAGAGAAAGTTAGGGATTAGAGGAATTAAGACACGAATATATTCAGTTTCTCAGTTTTAAGTTCCCAATTGTGTCTTTTTACTAAGGGTGCTGCTACTATAGAAGAAATTGGTAAAATTCACTTAGATAAATGTATTATGTTCTGTACTACCTTTGTCTCCCTCACTATTCTGTAAGTTTCATGACAGAAGAGACTTTGTTTATTTGTTATATCCCCAGAACATCCTATAGGAGCATGGTAGGTAGTCAATTAATATTTGTTGAAATAATAATAATAAAAAAAATGAATGAATGAATGAATGGATTCTCCCAGGAGTCTGGGTAGACTTTCACTCTGTGTTTTAAAAAGCACTGTTGGAAAAATGGCGAGTCTTGGTATAAAAGTGTTAAAGTGGTTAGCATGTCACCGTTAGCCATGGCTGTCCTTTAGAGCAAGCGCCTTTCCCTACCTACCTCAAACCACACATCTTACTGCTCTGATACAAGAGTTCTATGGAAAGCTTGTTCTGTGACTGCCCATCTTTGAGTAGGTGGGCCCCATCCCTCTGTCTGGTAGGACATACGTGCATATTTGCAAATGAGCATTTTCCTATGAGTAGTTGGCCTAGTTTTGGCTTACGGGTGGCCAGTGAACTACACTGGTGAGGCTGGGAGGAAAAGGAGCACTTTCATTCCTTTGTAATGTATCTCTACCAGGCCACCTGTCTGCCAAGGTCTGGAGAAGGTGGAGACACAGCTGCGTTGGGTCACTAGAAAAGGACGCTGTTCTCTCTGCATATCTTTTCTTTTATTATCCATCATTGCCCCTGAGCCTTTCTGGCCTAAATCTAAATTACCCAGTTTAAAATGCGTTTTTTATATTTTTAAATGCTTAAAAATTATGGAAACAGTAAAAGTAACTAAACTTTTCCCTTTTCAGTGTACTATAGCTTAGAAGTGAGGTAGCCATTTTAAATCATCACTACTAATTTACTTTCAAAATTCTGTTAAGCAAAAAGCAATGTGCACATATCATACCTGCTCTCCTTCCCCACACATTAAGCTTAACTACCTTACTTTTAAGCTATAGTACAATGAAAAGGGAAAAGTAATGTGTGGGGAGGGAGAGCAGGTAAGATATGTGCACATTGCTTTTTGCTTAACAGAATATTGAAAGTAAATTAATAGTGATGATTTAAAATGACTTTCCTAAGTCTAGAATTTCACATTCTTCCAAGTCTAAGAAATTGAGTTCCACAATCTTTAGATTTTGTTTTATTTTATTCTTTAGTGTAAAAAGTATTTACAATTTTGGTTAAACTTCAAAGGTTTTTTTTTTTTTAACATACCACATCTACAACACATTTTGTTATTCATGATGAAAGAAATTTGTTTGATAGCTATCATCATATGGGTTTACAATTTAGTGTAACTTGTTATTCAATTTACTTTTCAAGGATCAAAAAGTTTTTATTAGCGACATGTTGGCTACCATAAATAGTTTAAATGTGCAGTTACCTGGTATCATCCTGCTGTGTGCTTGCTGCCTCAAGCTCACTTTTTAGGTGGGTAGAGGTGCAGATGCCAGGAAGGTCACAAAAGGATGAGATCTTTTAGACTTTAGTAAATTGACTCCACCAAAATTTCCCTGGAATATTGACAAGTCTTTGTGAGTTGGTATTCTGTTTGGGGATAGAAACCAGCATTCATAGAAATTGAAATGTAAATATTGGGTAATATTTTACTATCAATGTTTTCTTCCCCAGGATGTTCCAACCTCAGTTATTCAAAGACTCCATCACAAGGGACAAGGTTGGGCCGGCCCAGCGGCGCACTGGATAGTGCACGTGCACTTTATATGTCCCATATTCCTTCAGATAAGTGAAATTAGCATATCTGGCTATTACATTTGTTTATATGTATTATTATGAATATTTCCAAAAGAAGGTTTACTTTATAAGTTGCTTCAAAGATTTATCTTGACTTGACACTTACAATGTTAAGTTGATGTATGAATGTATCTGACTCTAACGCAACTATGATTTCTATATTGGCTGAGTCAAGCAGCATATTTAAAAGCAGTTAAGACTCCTGGGGCATTCTACACCAAAATGTGTAGACTTAAAAAAAAATTCTTCCTATTTTCTGATAGTGTTGTAGGTGTAAATTGCTTAGCGTTTTGCTTGGTGCATTGCTAGGTCCTCAGTGAATATTAGCTATAATCATTATAAATCATAGAGGCCCAGCTCTTTAGGGGTTTGTATGTTTTTCTTGGCTCGTGAAGGTACTTTGCAGATGATACCTCACATAATCCAGAAAGGTAACACTGAAAGAAATGAGCCAATCTCCCCATTTTACAGATAGGGACATTGAGGCCTCAGAAAGTTAAATGACTTAGACAAAGTCACACAAGTAAAGTGGAAGGCCTGGGATGAATCCCTGACCCTCAGCCTGCTGTGATTTCCACCCGCTCTGGGCTGGAACTTTTCAGATAGGTGCAGCTTAAAGGTGTCTCTGAGCAAGGCCCCGGCCTCTACCACCACTCCCACCCTCTGCAAACACCAGGGAAGAGCAATACAGGCTAAATGGCTCAGAGGAGGAGTGAAACATCCCACAAGATCCAGGGACAGCTCCATATCCATTTGGGGCTCAATTTTACGGCCTGAATAAAAGTACAGTCTTTGGAATCACTTAAATTTTGGTCAGGGGAGAAGTTTAAAGAACAATACTATACATCTAGGGGAGGAACAATTCACTGATTTAGATGAATGAATCACCAAAGAACTGTTTTGCCTATAAATGCAAGTAAATTGAATAACAATTCATCATGAAATGTAAACATGAGATAATTCCCTGTTCCATTTTCTTTTCCCTAAAAATGTGGTTGACAGATTTTCACATCCAGCACTACTTTTGGAAAAAAATTAAATTAGCCAGTACTTTTTATGAAGAAAGCTATTTTCCCTACCTACTTGGTAGGGGATCTAATCTGGAGAAATTGGGGGCCACAGAAATTATGTCCTGAAGTTGATTTTTCTTCCACTTTTGTTCCCACCATGGTTCACACTGAAAAACATAAATCTGTTCTGGATACTCACTAGTTGCTCTATTTTTATACCAGTATCTCTTCAGGATATTCTTAAATATCAAAGGAAATTAAAATGTAGTATTGTCTTTACTCTTTCACTTTAGTCTTTACTCTAAATGTCTTTCACATTTAGAGCTTTCTTTTTCAAAATATGCGACAGGTCATAATCTGACTTCTCACTCGGGTACCCTTACAGTCTGGCAGATGAGCAGCAAAAGGTTTCTCTGACATCTCGGGGTCAGTAGCACCTCCAAAAAATTTAGATACAAAGTTCAGAGAGCTTTGGACAGGGTATGGTTGGAAGAGCATGGTAAGGAAGGCTTTTTAGTATTTTTAATTTTTCTTATTTTGAAATTAGAGCCGCATGGATGGTGATTTAGAATGATTTATCACAGCTTTTGGATAAAATTTGTGTAAAAAAGTGTATTAGTCCATTTCTGTTGCTTATAACAGAATACTTGAAACTGGGTGATTGATAAGAAAACAAAATTTATTGCTTAGAGTTTGTGAGATTTGGAACTCCAAAGTCCAGGGAACACATCCAATGAGAGCCTTAGTGGTGGTGACAGTGATGGCAGAGTATCACGTTGCAAAAACGATGGAGCAGAGAGAGAGACTAACCTCCTCATTCTCTGTCCTTCTAAAGGCCTCCAAACCATGCCCATGACCATCATTTTTAATCCATTCACTACGGCACGATCCTACAATCTAATCATGATGGAGCAGAGAGAGAGACTAACCTCCTCATTCTCTGTCCTTCTAAAGGCCTCCGAACCATGCCCATGACCATCATTTTTAATCCATTCACTACGGCACGATCCTACAATCTAATCATCTCTTCAAGGCCCACCTTTCAATTACCGTAATAGGATTTCCCACCCTCTGAACAGTCACAGTGGGTTCTGATACATAAAACTTGGGGGACACAATTCAAGCTTCAGTGAGTTTTAGGGGGACATCCAATCCACTACCAAAGGGAAATAAATTTGCTTTTGCTCACCAAACTTCCAAGTGTCTCCATTTGGGGCTGTACAATAATTTGATTATGAAGTCACATATGACAAATTCACTCCTAGGTGAAATTTCTAGAAAATAATGGGCAGAAACCTCCAGCAGTCCACTAATGCCAGGAGATGCTGTAATATTTGGTGAATGTCTGATGCCCTGTAATGACTTAGAAAGCAAATCATCAAGTCCTCTGTTAATTTTGTTTGTTTGTTTCACAAACTGTTGGCAGATGATAGAGAAAAGTATGCTTCCTATTGTTTTCCTCATCTTTTAAAACTTTGGTGTAAATGTAAAAATAACAACTGTCACAAAAACTGGCAGAAGAACACTGGGATTTTATTTTATATTTTATGAGAATATCCTAGATTTTCTAGACTCCATCAGATCAATTTCTGCCCCTATATTATGCTTGGGAGGTCTCATTATTGCAAAAATGACTGTTGGTTTCCTTTGAATTTGGGCTCTGTGAATCTTTCTAATCAATTCTTTTGACATAGCAAATATTAAACGCCCTATACATTTTCAGGAAAGAGAAACCCAATGTTTTCTTTTAAGCTGTATCTTTTTTATGTTAGAAGTACTGACAGATGGACTATTATTTCTTAGTCTACCTTTCAACCTATTTCCTAACAGTTAACATGAAATGTTTATGAAATGTTGCTGATGCTTTTCTAAACCAGGTTGCTGATTAAGCAGCTTCTCCTTTTATATACAACTTTTGGATCCTTCAACAAAACAAAACAGAAACTATGAACAAGGTCTGAGAAAGATGATGTTAGAATCAATACCAGTGATCATTAAAATAAGCTGAGCCTGAAGTAGTCACAAAATTTTCCAAATAGTGTATATTTGCAGAAAAGCATAGAATTGGCCTTAATTTTCAATCAGCAGGCATTTATCAAGGGCCTGTCATCACAAGGGACGGGGAAGAACTGAAGAACATGTCATTGCTTCTGAGCATCTCAAAGTAGGGTCTATAAAGTGGGGAATTTGCAACAAATCTTCACTGCAAATGCAAATTCAAGGTCTCCACCCAGACCTATTGAATCAGAACATCTGGCATGAAGCCCAGGAATCTGCATTTAGCAATAGTCCTATGCATTACAATTTCACAATGATTAAGCTAGGGGTTCACATTTTCAGATGGGGAAACAGACTTGTGGGTAAATAATAGAAATTATCTAAAGCCAGGTAGATGAACTGGGCTATAATAAAGTCACAGAAGTCTTTCATGACAGAATGACTCAAGAGGGAAGGAAGGAGCACGGTCCAACACACACTCCTCTCAGGGAACATTGAAAGGTGAGGCTTTATCCAGGGCGCAGCACATTGTCACGGAGTCAATATTAAGCAGTGTCTGGGAAGCTGAGTATTGTAGTCCACGGAGGGAAGTCGGTTTCCAAACTCACCCAGCCAGAGTGCCTGCACTAACTTTGGTTTACACAATTTTTTAATCTCCAACATTCTCAGCCTGCTGCCTCCAGGCTAAAGCTTCATACAACCCAAATCTCCCCTTTCCAAGCCAAAACCCATGGAAATAAGAGAAATGGAGAATTGGAAAGGAAAAGCAGCTGATTGTGTGTGATTTAGGCCCAGACATGGTATGGTGTACGCAGATAGAAACCTGATTTCTTGATCCAGCAGGAGTTGTGTGATCATTGGTTCAATTATTCCTTCAGGGCCTTAGCTTCACCCCCTGTGAATGAAGAAGCTCTGTATGATCTCTGTGCTGTGTTTCAGCTCTGAGACTGATTTGTTTAGTAAGCATCAGTGTTTTATCTAATTGCATGGTTGTTTAAACAAGCAAAGTCTAGAATCTCACTGGCCTTGAGCCTCTCCTGTGATCTAGACAGGAATTAAAATGTCAGCAGCAGCGTTCCCTTCTTCTGCTGGCATTGTGGTTAAGAGAAAAAGCTTAGGACCAGGTCATCCACAGCGTCAGCCTAGCACTGTCACTCACTAGCCCTATGACATGGAGCACACTTCTCCCAGCCTCAGCTTCTATATTATTTAAATTGGGATAATACCCACCACCCGGTGCTGTTGAAAGTACTAAATAATGTTTGTAAGATAGATGCTGCTTCATGCCTGACATACAGGAAGGGCTCAACTGTAGCTGCTATTTTTTTTTTAAACCACAGAATCATATTTTCAAAAAGACTACAGACACCTAGTTCTTCCATTACGAACTTCTATCTTCAGGGGAGTGCCATGTTAGAAGAGAAGGGCCCCATTTATGTCAATTACAATATTTTTAAAACTTAGTTTTCAGTCCTTTGCTGTGACATAACTAGTGGATTTGACACCTGAGTGGATCGTTTTTTAACATCCCCTCCTCTAGATGATAAAATCATTTTCAGTAATTATCACATAATAATTAGTAATAATCATTATTTTTTCAATTCGTTCTTCAGTTTTAAAACAAATTATTAACAATTTTAGAAGAAGAGCAAATTTCAGTTTGAAAGATACTCAAATTCACTATGTATGAACTAAAACTTGCATTTGCCAAAAATACACCTCCCAATTCAGTTTCCCTGTTCTAAACTTGGAAAGCGATACCTCCAAGTGTTACACAGAAACAACAGAATTGATACAATTCCATATCTTTGTGTCTTTGTCTCAACTAAAACTTGCATTTGCCAAAAATACACCTCCCAATTCAGTTTCCCTGTTCTAAACTTGGAAAGCGATATCTCCAAGTGTTACACAGAAA